AAGTGAAATACAACTGTAATATATCAAAATCTAAGTTAGTCCTTCCTCTATTTGATGCAAGTTATTTCTCTTTAAAAGGTTTACTTGTTTAGAAGTTATTACGAATCAAACCGGAGTACTTTTTTTTGGGACACCCGGTATATATATAATCCTGGGTACGAGGTTGATATATATATTAGTTTACAATAACTATATAATAATTAACACAAAAAGATGTCATCGCGCGTATATACAGTATAAGTCCCTGGTATATGTATGCATTAGCTCCACTCCAGTGTTACGTTACGGTGGGATAGTCGATAAACGGACGAATGTAATGTAACCAAAGGCTTATACGTTTGCATTATTTGAATAAGTGTTTCAGTATTTCATCAAATTAAATATATCATTTTGTTCGTTTTTAGGCAATTGTGCTCCAAAGAAGAAATCCCTCACCAGGCTGAGACACGAAATGCAAGCCGTCCAGTACGAACTCCGCCATGTTCAGGTGATGATTCTAGTGACATTCTTCTGGGATTCTCAAAATATCCCTTCCCAATTTAAAAGAGGAACAGTTTAATTTCCTCATTGAAAAATAGAGAGAGAGGCAAGACTGATTTTTGTTTAGAAATTTATAGATTAATTATTTAGTTGCATATGTATAATTACCACATATGCGGGATTCTTTTCTTTTTGCTGTAGTGCTGTATTAGCATATATGCATAGTGCATATATACTATATATTAAGTTCGGCTTACAGAATAATAGAATTATATTATTTTAATCATAGACATTCATTTCTTTGACTATATATATGCTTTAATTAAAAATGTTTCGATATATACGATACGACTCATTTCTTTAAATAGAATTTGTCATTTAATCATCAAATAAATTTACTAAAATTAAATTGTTTTTAGAAACCTTATAACTGCTTAAATGGGGCAGTGTCACGGGAGTGTCACCGATTTTGACCCTCGCAAATCTTTAGGAATCTTGCACAAACTACCTAAAAAGAATGGTTGTAAGCACAACATAAAACAATAACAAAAACAAAAAGATGTACAGCTGTCTGCGGGATGCATGGTTGAGATTGGGCGCGCATTGAAATGGATTGCATGTAAATGACATCTTGATTAATTGTTGGCAGACACTTTTTCAAGTTTAGGAGTGTCAATTTGTATGAAATCGTCGTCTTACATGTTGTGTGGAAGTTCATTGTTGTTTAATATGACTCATATGTTATAACTGAACCTATTTATGTTTATTTTCAAATTCGCAGGTCAGAGTTTGAATAAAAGACAGTTTTGGTAAAAAATTGGTGACACTGCCCTTTAAGATTAATATTTAGTGACCATATACCACACACGAGAATTATTACTATTAGAAGTGTTTATTATTATACTATATAATTTGTAATTTGTAGCGATTCTGAAACATGATTCGATAAATACTAAAACGTGTTGTGAATGAGGCCTTGTATAGCTTAGAGATCTTAGAGTAGTACTGTAGTAGTCTCCAAAGTTATCAATCTTGTCCCCCGTGCCTAAACGGTAATATGTTGTAATTGTGTCACTGTCAACTGTCTTCCAAGTTCAATGGTTATAATTATGCCGAAGACATTCAACGGCATAACTATCCAATTTGATGACATTCAATGTCATAACCAGCCAAGTTTAATGGTTATGCCGATCGAAGACATTCAACAGCATACTAACTATCCAAGTTGAATACATTCAACGCCATAACCATCCAAGTTGAATGGTTATGTCGAAGACACTCAACTGTCTTCGGCATAACCATCAACAGTCAACTATCTTCCAAGTTGAATGGTTACGCCAAATACATTCAACGGCATAACAGGGCCGTAGGAAGCTCTTTTCGATTGGGGGGGCTGAAAGCGAGGGCCGAAGGCCCGAGGAAATTTTTAAATTTAGAGTCTCTAAAATACCATTTCCTGGACTTTGGGGGAAGATTTAACAGAATTCTGATAGTCAGAAAACAGCGTTTTAGTATGTCGAAATTTACAGGAAAGTATGGGCCAGACTGTAGTATTATAAATGCGCGGCGGGAATTTTCGTCGTAAATGGCAGTTGCGCGGAAATGAAGACAGAACATTTGAGAAAATTTCGAAAATCTGGAGTCTCTAGATGGTCTGAAATGGCATTTTCAGAGTTTTCTTTCGCAAGACCCAACACGCAAAAGACAAAATAAATCATTAGTTCATCAAAATGTGCAGATTTTGTGGGATTTTCTTGAAAATGCGCGACAGAAATTCAGCTAAAATTTCTACGCGAGGAACGATCTGGAGTATGAGTAATATCTTCATTCTTTGCAGTTTGTCACAGATTAAATGATAAAGTTTGCATGATTTTGAAAAAAGAATGATTTATTTACGGCCCTGCATAACAATCCAAGTTGAAGACATTCAACGGCATACCTATCCAACTAGAAGACATTTAACGGCTTGAAACGGCATAACCGTCCAAGTTGGTCTGCATAACCATCCAAGTTGAATTTCCTTGATGACTGCAATATATTTCTGAATTGTTTGAGTGAGTTGCTCCTTATTATAAAAATATCCAAAATTAGAAAAAAAGTTTAGCTATGTGGTGTGGAAATTTGAGAAACATTCGTTAAAACACGCAGGAGAACAACAACTCGTTTGAAAATAAGAAATTGCCGTAAAATTGTTTGGGAGAAAATTGAATTTGAATTATACGTTTTCAATGTGTTTTTTTCTTATTGCAGCGAAATGTATTTTGCTTGTCTTGCTTGTGTGATGTTACTCTGAGTGTATATCCACACCGGGCAGGCTTGAAAAATATGCCTGGCCACGGTGGGAATCGAACCTACGACCTTTGGAATACTAGCCCAACGCAGACTAGTCCCAAGTCCTCTGTGCACGCTTTTGATTTCCGTGACGTCACCGAACGAAACGCGCCTCATTAATATGCAGAAACGCGCAATAGGCGTACTAAGAGGCCTAGGGACTAGGCTGAGCCCAACGCTCTGCCAACTGAGCAACCTCGTACCCAGGATCTTTCTTTGGGAAAGATCCTGGCAGCGGCTGGTCACGTGCCTCGTCCAAAATTTAGCGCCCGAGGGGGTGTGGTGAAAGTATCAAATTGATTAGGGCTAGGCAACTTGAATAAAACTTTTCGAACACTTGTTGTTTCCGACAAACAAATAAATGCGTTAGTGCGCCTGCGCTTCAACAACTGCTGACCGCTCAAAATGCGGGCTATGAGAACGATGGGCTTATGAAAACGATGGGCCACATCGACAACATGCAAATTTGAATTTGAAAACGAAAATCATATGTCTAAAAAATCATATATGTCTAAAAAATCATATGTCTGAAAATCATATGTCTGAAAATCATATGTCTGAAAAAAAAGTAAATTGAATATATTTTTTTTAAAAATAAATTCTGAAAAAAAAATTTTGTTTTTTAAATTTTATAATTTTATTATAAATATATTCAATAATTTTATTTTATTTTTATATTTTCAATTTCTACTATTTTTTAAATTAAATATTATTTTAATTATTTAATTTATTTTTGTTTTACTTTCTATTATATTAAAAATAATATTTTATTTGATTTCTAGTACTTGAGTTATATTTACTATGAGAACAATGGGCCATCATAGTTAAGGTTAGGATTATGGCGTTTGCATTAGGATTGTTCTAATTGTAGACTTATCACAACGCAATACTTCATTGCATACAATGCCTTTACGACGTCAATCAGGGATGCCGGAACCACGGGTGCAGCGGGTGCAAGTGCACCCCTTGCCTTTTGCATTTTCAACTTTGTGGGTGCAGTGCGGGTGCAGAATACGGGTGCAACGGGTGCACAAAGTGCCCTTTTATTGCGTGGAAAATTTTCATTAAAATTGCATTTTTTGCGCAAAGGGCATTTTTGAAAAATTCAATCTATGTTATTTCCCGAAAAATGTTTTAATTTCCGGAACAAATAACATATATCCGGAAATTTTTTTTCGTATTTAGGAAAAATTGTGGTATGTGCGGAAAATTTTTTTACCCCTAAACTGGTACACTGACCGAAATTTTTTTTTTTGGGGGGGGTCGCCAAAAATAATTTTTAGATGCCCTTTCATTTTCAGTAGTGCCCTTTTGTTAAGGAATATGCCCTCTTGTTAACCAATTGCACCCCTTGCCCTCAGCAACTTCCGGCATCCCTGCGTCAATAGATATTGGTTACAATGTACAGCTTTGAAGGCATGGACCTGCAAGTCCTGCAACTGTTCAGTCATTGAATTTTTGAATAAAAGGCTGTGTCATTATGGCGTATTTGGTTGAATTTCATCCAAACTAACTAAAATATTACTAACTTTAAGAGAAATTACTAAAAAAATTAGCAAAAAAGTGCGAAAAATCTCGAAATATTTATACCAAAAGTAATTAAAATTAATTTATTTATTCAATCCAAAAATATTTTGGTCTTCTGTCACGCAATGTCAGCTGGGTAATATTGCGGCCATGATCAAATGATCAAAGATTAACAGAAAAATATCTAAGCAAGCTTGTGATCGATTTTCACCAATATTTTTTTTAATTTTTTTGTTTTATTTAATATGCTTGGGGTATTAGTTGGCATGGGAAATACCACGGCACACTGACCACGTTAAAGGCATTTGGCTCAATTTAAATGTGAAATATAGACCCGTCGGAGTCGATAGTACGATAAAGTGAGTTGCTTGAGTGTGCTACAATTTTCAGATTCGATAAATATCTACAATGATTTCAATAAAAGTTTGCCTTCTGGATGACACCAGTGTGAAGTTCGAAGTCGAGGTAAGATGCTGCTGTATAGTATATAGTGAAAAACGCAACTATGTTTTTTATTTTATGTTTACTGTAAATAGTCGATGTTAATATTTTCAACATGTCATGTGAGTATGAAATATATTCCAACGATGACCACATTTTCTAAAGTTCAAGAGATACGGTTGTACTTTATTAAAGTTATTGTTATTTTTATCGTGAAGATATCGACGATAACAATTATCTTAACCTTACGTTAACAGGGTGAATATTTTCTAATGTAAAGAAAGTTTTTGTGTTGTGTGACATGTATAAATTTTTTTTGACACCTTTATTATTGATATATATCCCCTTTGTAGTTTGAAGTACTTATAAAAATAAAATTGATATTATTTCAAACCTAAATCGAAGACTAATGTTTTAAGGACTTTAGTCAGTTCTAAGGAAAAAGGTATTATATACCAATGTGTGACTAATGTTGTTTATTTGTTTGTTATGGTGTCCCCTCATTGAAAGATTAGTTCATAAAAGTGAATAATTATTCTGACAGCTAGGTGGTGGGGCATTTGATTCTAGGCTGTTGCGGTATTTGAAAAAAAACGAAAACTGATACCAGAAAAAAACCCCCAATATATCGATATTTTTTTGCAATTGTATTTTGCTTAATTTTATGCAAAATTCGCTTAATTTAAATAATGCAAAATGTTCTGTTTTCAAATGATGCCAAACAGCCACGATATAACAGCTTTGACTCATCAGGTTGCATGATATAGCCTGTGAAATATCCGCTTTAGAAATTGAAAATGCATATTAGCATTGATTTATATCGCACTGGATAAATCATGTGTGATATTTTTGACCGGGAAATTTGTTTCAAAACATGTTTTTCAACTGCGAATTTGAAACAAAGATTGTCCTATCTCACCAGATAAACAATGTCCTACGAGGTTAGTTTTTGTTTTTCCCAAATCATTTTGTAATCCACCGTTGTTTACATTCTAAAAGTTCACTTTTTGACTAGCGAAATAACATATCATACACCATGCAACCAACATAAATAATGGGGCTGAATATGGATATACAAATTTGTTGATCCTCCCAAATTTGAAGCAAAATCCACTGATCCAATGGTCTTGTCTAAATTTGGATCCACTAAAAGCTCTACTATGAAGTCACAGTCCAGGAGCCGAATAAAATTGCAAGCCAAATCCACAATTTGAGCAAAAATATTAGATAAATCTGCAATCCGCTGTACTATATGATCCGCAAATCTATGTAAAATATTCGCCAGGTCCAAAATGCGAACAATTTTTTCGGTGAAATCCGACGAATGAAATCATATTGAATTAAATATTACCCTAGTTCCAGAGCTAGGTTTATTTTTATTATTTTCATTGCGAAGGGGAGAGGAAAAATAAACCTCTGGTCGAAAGCGGCAATTGATTCATTGAGCCGCGCCAATCAGTTTGAATTAGGGTCAGATCCTGACTCTGTCTCCTGATTGGATGATTGTATTAAAGCTCTCTGATTGATTCAAATAAAACATCTATAACCAATATAACAAAGCTTTAATACAATCACCAATCAGGAGACAGAGTCAGGATCTGACCCTAATTCAAACTGATTAGCGCATCTCGATGAATCAATTGCCGCTTTCAACCAGAGGTTTATTTTAATTAAACCTCTGGAACCAGGGTAATTAAATATTGACTTTTCTATAAACTTATATTGAGAAAACATAAACTGAGTCTGATTTCCGATATTTCATCCATACATTTTTTATACATGTTTCGCATTGTTAGACAACGAAGAGAAGTAAAATTCCTGCTTGTATATGCAAGTATGCTTGAGCACGCGAAACCTCCGACAACATTTTGAAAACTACGAAAATTTCCAATTTTCCAACGGGTCTCAACAATAGGGGGGGGATGGCCCCCCTTGCCCCCCTCTGGCCATGGTGCCACTGCATTTTAGCTCTCGCTCTAACCTTAATTTACATATTTTAGCACATTGGTTGTCTTTGTCCTTCTGAAATAACTCCAATCAGCGCTTGAAAAAGCTTGATATGATGTTTACATATACAAATGTAAACGTAATATCGATAATACCGAAAAATATCGATATTCCGATATATCAAAAATTTCAATATCGAGTAATCGGTATTTACCGCAGCAGCCTATTTGATTCCACTTATAATAAGGACGGGGATTTGACCACAACTAAAAAACTTTTAGTTTACCTAACATCAGTAACATGAAGACTATTATAGATAGACTTGCTACCTGCTGACACAGAAACCACAGGCTTTGACGTATCAATCAAAAGCACATTTTTTGCTTTTGAAATTTTTATTTTGTTATAAAATATAAATTCACCGTCTGACCGAGCATCTTTAGTAATTAGAGATTGAGTTATTTTTTGGGATACTGAAGGAAAACATAGGCTTATTGCAATGATTGTGGACCCTTGTGTATGTTCATTAAATGCATGTGCAACATTCTTCTATAATATCCTTATATATACTGGAAATAAATACGACAGAGAACATGGGTATAACTAGTTTAGAAATTGTATATCAACATCAGTAAAATGTATACCTGGGTATAACTAGTTTAGAAATTGTATATCAACATCAGTGAAATGTATGCCAACTCAGTTGTTTAATGTATAACCTGCTGGGTAAGAATGACAATGGGTCCAGAAAATATTCACACTCCCCCTATGGAGGAAATCTCTGCCGTCCGGAGGAGGGGGTGGGGGGGAGGGAGGAAAATTTGTTTCTCGTACTAGTAAGTGCATTAGGACATGCGAAGGGAGTTAACTTCCTATTTTGGGAGGTGTGGATGACCCTCAAGATATATAATAAGCTCTTTGCAGTAAAAATATAGTTAGCAACTAAAAATAGTTGAGAACAATAAGTGACTGGAGAGCATGGAGAGCTGTGGGATTTGTAAACAAAGGAGTAGGACAAAGCACAGCATGAGATGGAAAATGTTTTTTTAAAATGACTAGTCCATTGTGGATTATAGTACATCGCGTTTCTAAGACCATTATGAAGTTATTGTCTTGGGGGGCAAAAGACTCCAAGACAATGGCGATAGTCTTTTTATTTTACTAAAAAGTTCTGTACAGTTGGTGGTGGACCTGTATTTCTGTAACCGTTCAATGTCAAGTGTGTGTAAGACAGAAATATAATCAGAATATGGACAAATTATTGTTTGCTAAATCGTTTGCTAACTATTTTGGTAACGCGTAATGAAATAGGGTACTCCATAATATAGTATAGATCTTATACATGTAATAAAGGATTTCAAGTCATTGAGTGTTTGCCCATTTAAGTTGTATCAAGAAGTAAGTTCTCTTAGTTGCTTGCTTAACTGTTGAATTAATATGCGCGTTCCATTTCAAATTGGCCTAATAATTTCACATTGTTAAATTGACCTCTATTATACATGTTAACCTCTATTTCTTTACCGATATCGGAAAATTCAGTTCTTCTTTGCAAAAGAGATCCGCAGTTCTTTGGCTTTGCTCTTATCAGAATCTAGCAGCATCCTATATTACTGACAGACCATTGGACTACTTTATATTAGCACTGGTGAAGATCCGGGCTTAAGGATCGAAAAGTTTGCAGTAATAAATTTACGTGCAGGCGTTTCCACAAACAAAAAGTATTATATGATTTATCGCCATGCAATCCTACAATGAACTAATTACTTCATATAAGTTGTGCTTTGCTCGATCCTCCTTTATGCATTTCATCCCCTCTCGATTGACAGCATTTTTATAAAATCTGAAAATATAAAGATTTTAGCTTTTTGTTTATCCATGGAGCGTCCCTTTGCATTGTTAGGGACTGGTCATAAAGTAACTGCTAGGGTGGACTGGAGGTAAATCACAAATTTTGCCAAATCGGTGACCCATCTTAGGATGTAGATAAACATTTCAAAGCCCATCTAATCTTACAAAAGATTTTTCATGACCCACCCAATCTACATTGGGAAAATACACTTTTATAATAAAAAAAAAACTTGCAGGTATGAACATTGTAAATATCCATGGAACTGTATTGACATACATAATTCCACCAAGCTTGACCAACACGTTGATACTGAGCTGCTCTCCAGTTGGTTGTATTTGCTGTGATTCGACCACTTCTTGTTGTTGTATAAACAAAGTACTGACTTCAATAGCATCATTTGCATTTGATAATTTGGATAGTTTTGTTTATTTTTATTATTAATATCTTTATTTTTTGAAGTAGACATGCATGGGTTTTTGTTTGGTGGCCCAACCGTGGACATACAAAAAAATTGGCGGCCCATCGAAACTGCCCAAAGATTTCCATGGCCCATCCCAAATCACTCCAGCCCACTCTAGCAGTTACTTTATGACCGGTCCCTTATATGCAAAGATTTTTTATAGGCCAGCTACAAAGGGCCTATTAGTGGAATCCTGTGGGTATGCCTGATACCCCCCCCCCCTGGGGCAAACCACTGACTGGGGCAAACCACTGAATCTGAAGTTTTGGGGAAAAAATATCGAAAAAAGATATCGGTTTTTTCTTCTCACTAAATCTTAAACCTAATTTTTACTAAACTATACACGAAAACAATTGTTGGTTCCTATTTCCGAATACATGTTATTCAGTATTCAACGAAAATTTTATCTAAAAGCTTTGTACACGCTCAGCACTGAAAATACCGAAGATTTCAATACTGAAAATACGGAACATTTCAATTTCAAACGAAATATCGATAAATGAAAAAAAAACGATATCTAAGACCCATTGCACATGGCGTCACTGCGCCGGTGACGATGCATCTGGAGGACAAATTTTAGCAATCTATGCAAAATATAACTTTTGTAAACAAAGCAAATTTTGTAAAACTTTATAATAATTTTACATTAAAATTGTTAATTTTTGCGCTGTATGTGGTTGTTGTACCCAAACAGATATTGTTAGGGAGCATCTGGAGGACACTCAAAGGATTTGTGACATCAGTGCAATGGGTCTATTGACATATTGAAAAACCGCAACAGTCTACTTTAACTACGAGAGGATAATGGATATTCGACCTAATGACACATGGAAATGATGTATTTGCCAATACAATGTGTATGTGATGTAGCAGACCATGCCATTTTCATGCTTAGGATCTTGTTTGAGATTCATATTTAGTTAATGAGATGTATCTTTAGTTAATGAGATGTAGATGAATTGTATAAATCATTCACCTTTCCATATACACTCAGAGTAACATCAAAAACATTATATTCACCTGAGTACATAACATCAAGACACACACACAAAAATAACGTCTACTATAGCCTATATTAATGTTTATTATACTTTATCTATTAAAATGAGTATGTCACCCTCATGACTTTGGTACATTATTTAACAATTATTCGCCGAAGGCGAGGTTGTTATCGGGGAATATTCACCGAGACGAAGTCGAGGTGAATGTTCCCCGATAATCACCGAGCCTGAGGGGAATAATTGTTTTAGTATTTTTCCACAAGTCTTTTGTGTTTTTTGGGACTGAATTTATTTTAATTTCGCTTATTTCTTTATCAGTGACTTCCACAAAACGGCTAGCCGCATTTTATACGTCAAATTTGACCAATCAACTTGTAGGATATGTTATGTTCACTTGTGCAAAAATACTAAAAAAAAGTCCATTTAGTGCTTATGCAACTACGTAAGTGATAAGGGAGAATTGATTGTTTGCTTGCATGGGTGCAAGGGGACATTTTTGCACTCATTTTCTAAACGGATGATCTTACTATGCTAAAAATTCTAATATTTCTAGAGGAAATGGAAAGGTCGTGAGGTTTATGAGTTGGTGTACAAACATCTAAATCTTTCTGAAGGAGAATATTTTGGCATTCAGTATTATGACAAACATGATCATTTGGTAGGTTACAAAATAATATGTTGTGCGTCATAATTACATTTATATGTCCCTTCCCCAACCACTGCTTCTCTATTGTTTACACTTAAGCAGACTGTTTATGGTAGTCATACATTATTTTTCTATTTTTGGAAGTTTTGTTGAGCATTCCCAACAAGGTGAATATTTATCGGGCTGTACATTTAATTTGTACGTATTATATACATACTGTCAGTGGTAAAAATCCTGAACAGGGTCATACATTTATAACTATGCATGGCTACAATTGATAAAAGTGTGTTTGCGAATCCAAGAAATGGTTTGCTTTGCTAAAGTAAAGATGTTTTAATCTGAACTAATCATGTAGTATCTGTGCAAGGTCCTGTTCACAAGAGCTAAGTTACATCTGTATTATATTTATTTTTAGTGTTGGCTAGATCCTTTGAGGTCATTGAATAAACAACTTAAAGGTACACAAAGTTATTGATAACCCCTATGATGCAACTTGAAATTGTCGATTTACTATTTATTACATTTACTATCACCAAAATGTATGTTTAGATCCTGCCAAGGTTTTATTTCGATTTGCTGTGAAGTTTTATGCTGCTGATCCCGTCCAACTGCAGGAAGAGCAAACGAGGTAGGCAAAAGTTGGATATCATCTGCTTATGTAAGGTCTACGTATCCATAGTTTTCAATTGCAAGGTTTCATTTGTAGCCCCACCCTCCATATTTCTTCAGGAAATAATGAATACCACGGGTGTGAATGGTGATCATTGAACTATAAATAAACTGGAAGGCTAACTCAGGGGGGGAAATTGAAGCCAGTGCATTTTAGTTTTTCTGAGTTATGAGCAGAAATACTCAACACTGAACGTTGGGCTATATATCAAATTGAAGCTATTGAAAAACGCTATTTGGTGTAGAAATTTCAAGACTTTAGCTAAAAGGGAATATTGAAAAACTACAAACATAATTACCGATAATTTGCCGTTTTGCAGTTGTTTTTGTATTTCTTAAATATTTTTCTTTTCGCTGAAGTCTTGAAATTTCCACACCGAATAGCAATTTTCAATAGCTTCAATTTGATATATAGCCCGACGTTTGGGGTCAAGTATTTCTGCTCATAACTCAGAAAAACTATTTTGGCTTCATCAAATCATAGGCCTTCATCATAGCAGTTAGCCTTCCAGTTTATTTCTAGTTCAATGCTGGTGATTTCCCCCCAGGCCAGTGTGGGTAGTGCCAACAATAACAAGCTTTCGTTGGTAGGGATGCAACCACTTGAAAAATACAAAGCGAAATTCGACGTTTCAAGCGAAGGCCCTTCGTCGGGTAGTTAGTCACTAACTTCCTGATGAAGAGCCGAAACGTCGAATTTCGCTTTGTATTTTTAACAGTATGAAAAACCAATTACGGTGAACACCGCGGAAAAACGTCTGCGCATGCGTCAACCTTACCTGTAATAGTATTGCGAACTTGATGAGAAGCTGTTCCGAACGTTTCCGAAGGCTCAAAATGGCGGTAAAAAGGAGTGACTTCATTGTGCGTCTTTACAGCCAGATTTCAAGCGCAAAAATAAACATGTCATTCTAAAAACTAGAAATAAATACAGCCAGAAGGTTCAAGAAATTGTACTGTACAAGAACATGAACTAAAGGTGATTGTTGACAAATTTATCGTCTGAAACATTTTGTTTATCAACTAAGCAACGACAATTTCCGAATTTTCGTTTGAGATACGTTTCTTTAAAAAAAACTGTGTCGCCAAATATAAAAAATTTTCGTGTTCACAGTAATTAAACTTTAGGATTTATTCTACAATTTGAGTGGGTTAAGAAGCTTAACTTTTCGAGAGTTTTCTTAACTTTTGAGTTTGAATTTTTGTTTTGAATAATTTTGCAAAAATTTTCGAAGTCGTGTCCGTTAAAATCAACAATTTTTTACATGAATTATATTTCATTCCATACTTTAAATGCCAGGACGCTTTCAATTAATGTCTAGTCTACCCATTTGCTATATTTTCTCGTTTGGTTTACTAATTTTTGACCTATTAATAAGCATGTTTTTGTTTTAGAATTTGATATTCAAATTCCCCGCCATATTTTCATAATTTGGTGCATGCGCAGACGTTTTTCCGCGGTGTTATTACGGTGGGCCCTATTTTACAAATACCATATAAGTATACAATTACATTAACATAACTTAACTTAACTTACAAGAACAAATGCAACTATCAGGAACAACAAGAGAGTGGAGTAGCAAGGCTACCAGCAGCGTTACATTTCAAGCTGATTGATTTCCAAGTCCGGGGATTTTCAGATTCATGTAATTTCAATGTAATATCTGTAAAGTAAATATTTAAATGTGTGTAAGGAAAGAGACTGTTGTTTAAGTTTATTAGGAAGAATGTTCCATATTCTTAATTGTTTTTCTGTTGATGAAGGAGGTCTGATAGGTTACAGGCTTGCATTTCTTGTTACGGAACAAGACCTACCAATGAAAGCTTGTTAACATACTGTACAACTACTGTGCCTGTATTTTGTAACTACAGTAACAGATCTTGTAAGCATAGAATATATTGTTGCAACAGCCAAATCATGTTAATTGTTTTTAGATATTTATTTGCTTTACAAATACGGAAAGACCTCTTAAATGGACGGTATGTTTTTTAAATAAATAATATGAAGTCTATCAAGATATGATGGTGTGGAAGTCTTGCAAATAAGGCCGTGGGCCAAAATTATTTCACTTCGTGGCAACCCCTTGGGGAATAAATTTTCTGTGATTCAATGTGTAGTACCATGAATTACCACAAAACGTTCCCAAGCAAAAAACTTGCCAAATACCGAGAAAATGGGTGATCAGTGATTATCCCCTATTAAATTGTATTATAGCAAAAAATCATCAGAAAGCTTACAAAAAACCGCATATAAGACATTCAAACAGGTTTTTGATCCTTCAAATAGTCTTTGAGTTATTGCTGTTTTAAATGTGAAAATTGGACCAAAATGTCGCAATAAGGACTGGGTACTAGGTCAAAAACGCGTTTTTGACAGCGTATAACTCTAAAACAATTTGAGATATAAAAAAAACTGTCTAAATGCCTTATATCCAGTTTTTTGTAAGCTTTCCGATGATGCTAGTCATTTTTGCTGTAATTGAATACACAATTTCACATTTTTTCGCTGTAATACAATTTAATAGAGGATAATCACTGATCACCCATTTTCTCGGTGTTTGGCAAGTTTTTTGCTTGGGAACTTTTTGTGGTAATTGGGCATCTTTGGTACTGTGCATTGAACCACAGAAAATCTATTCCCCAGGGGGTTGCCACGAAATTTCTTTTCCAAGCACTTTTTCGCACAGCGGCCCCCGGCCTAAATGTCAAAGTCACAAAGTTGGAACTGTAGCTCACCGTGCACAAATCCTTTGTCTCATATTCATTAAATCATGGTTGCACTACCTCCTCCGCAGGCGCTAAGGGAGCATTTCGGGCAGGTTCGGAAAATGCGGCCGCAAATTTGTCCGGAAAAGGGCCTGCGGAGGAGGTAGATGGTTGCATGTTTGATTTCAGCTATCCCTATTGGACGATTACTTCATTACAGTATATGAAAATACAACGAACTCAATTTTCGTGACCGCACACAAATTAAGATAAACGTAGAGAAAAACATAATACAAGTCTTTAAAGATTTATTTAATTAAAAAGCCAATAACATATATAGTAGATTAAGAACTAATTAAATTATGACTAGATTAAAAAGAAGAAAGACAAAAAATATACAGTATGAAAACTTTGTTCTGAGAATCTTTGTTCTACTCATTATTGTTTGTATACTCCATTCTAGATTAGTTTGTAATGACAAAACAGCATGTCTATTGGCATCATATTATGTACAAGGTGAGCACACCATTTATAATATAGGGATGGATCTGATAGGAGGATATACAGTATAGAATTTGCAGGGTAGATTGAAGTGGGTATATGATTGAGGAGGATAATATTACTCAGGATTAACATCTAGGTAATGATAGACAGCATAACCAATGCTACGGTCCCAGATAACAGGAATTCCCCAAGATATATCCAATAAGTCCTAGGCAATGTGCTGAGAATAACCCTCTCCTAAACAGGACTACTCACACATAGTGGAGATATTATACATGTACCTGAATCCCATGTCGGAATGGGATGGGAAAATAACGGAAAATGAAATGCACTCGCCGAACTACAAGATGCTTGTAAGATGAGATGACTGAGACGAACGTTGACAGTCCTGCATGCAACCACCTGAATCTCTTGCGGCCAATCTCCCGAAATCAATTACCCGATAGCAGTGCTTGCCTTATTTTTGAAAGCCCGAATATGACCAAGCCACATTACCTGGGAATCCTATCGAAATGTACTGCCAAATAACTGTCCAGCATAACTGGTACATGAACAGTCGGTCTCCTTACAGACAGTGCATGTTACTCCCAAGGTAGGTGAGAGTGTAGCATGTATGTATCCCACGTGGCCAACGCTACGAGGATTGAATAAAACCTACCGGCTACCACAAGGCAAGTTAAGGGCTGCTAACCCAGTGGCACAAGGAAATAGTGTCATACAAAAAAAACACGGGAAAGCCCCATAATGTTATCACTTTCCCCCCAAAGGCAGCAAAAAATGAGTTAAATTACCTTACGCTAATAACTGCAATCATCCCTGCCCGGACAGTAAGTATTAAGTAAGTAGAGATAAGGCAAGGTTATAGGCATAAGGCAATGCAACAGGGAAAATGCAATACTATAGGGGTAAGACGATGCTGTAGATATGTATAACACAACATACTTTTCCACCTTAGCATTTACCTTTTATAAAAATTTATAGAAATTATTAAGTTGTAAATCCATAATGTTAATCCTAAATATCCTGTAATGTTTTTATAGGAGAGCTTGGTGATTTTGATTCTCTAATACACACTCCGGGTTATCTTACTGAAAGTCAGTTTTTTCCTGGACAGGTAAAACATCTAAAGACCACTAATTTATAAATTTTGTCACTATGTTGCTCTATCACCTCTTGGTTATGGGAGAACTTAAGTTATTTTAGGCTGTATATCGCAAAAACCGACAAAAATATCGAATATTAGATTCGCATTTTTAAAAATATCGATATACCAAAAATGTCGATTTTCACAATCCGAAGACAAGATACAAGTCAAAACAAGAATGAGTTTGTGGGTTATACATATAGTTTGACCAGTTCTTTCATTTGGCATTCTGAGCTGAATCTTACGTGTTTGTTATACACTACAGTATGAGATTGTTAGAATGTAGTATTTCTCAAAGTCAAGGTCAAATCCCCCAAGGTCAAGGTCGCATTTTTCAGGTTGACAGGTGGTGCTGGCGGGTCAGGGTTGGGTTCGGGGTGGTTAGGGGGATCAAATTGAGGATGTACAACTTGTGGTGGATGGGGCTGTTGAAGTGGAGGTGGTGGTGATGGGTAGTGGGTTTTGGATGGGTTGTCGTTAGCGCCACCACTTGTTTTCATCCAGTCACCAAAGATCCTCTTTTCTTCGTGACTTGGCTCTCTCGTGCCCGGCACCGCACTCCTGACTGGACAAAGATGACCTGAGCCCTTTGGGAAAGTTGGTCCGACGGTGTGACCTTGCACGCTCATCTTTTTGTATTGTACATTCACTCCGTTGTACTGTGGAATAGATGGATTGTCTTGTGTTGATAGGAAAGGTAAATAGATCGGGCTTGATAACGCGCAGTAGATAAAATTGCAAGTTGTACAATTTGAAATGTAGAATCTGGTCCTCTATCATTGTGTCTTCTGTACTGATGGATACGTTACTATGAGTAGGATACTGGTCAAGCCTTATGTCGTTGGTTAAGCTTCTAAGGGCTTAAAATGACGTTTTTTAGTCTCTGAACTCTCGGCATGTGGTCTCTGTGGGTGACACAGCATGAAAAGAGGTAGAAGGCCTTTTGTCGGGGAGTTAGTAGCGTGGGTCGGTAAAATACATGGGAAATGAGGCGCATTTCATGTCTTTTGCGGCTATCAATGGGGGCTATTAAAATGTCTGGCAACAGGCTAGCCTGCGTGGCAGGCGGTATTTCTACAGGCAGCGAAAATTAGGGAGGCAAAGGAAGCAACAGGCTGGTAAGAAACAGGCTGGTAAGCATCCTTGCCAATGACAGCACACCGATGCTCACCAAACCTTGTCTCAAAAACCTTCCAGTTTCCCCAATATAAATAATAGTCTGATAGTGATTTTGAAATAAAATCGAAATATCACAAATTCATTCCCGTCTTGTTTTGACTCGTATCTTATGTCGATTAACGTTCAGTACTTTCAATATTGAGCGTGAACAACAACTGAACAGCACTAAAAGTAGGTAAAATGTTATCGTGTATTGAGTTTATGTGGCGCGACGTAACGCTTGAATATACAAATAGGCTAGCTGTGGGTAAATTGAAATTAAAACTCAATTTTTTTTTCATTTCTTGAAATCTTGGCGAAAAGGTTGAATATTTCGTGATGTTTCGGAATGGAAAAATATGGAAATATCGATATTATCGCCTATCGGTATTATTTTTTTGATACCGGTATTGAGACAGACAACACAATGAACTATTCTTGATGTCGTAAGAAGGTTCGATACACCGCAACAGCCTAATCTGTTTCTTTACCATGTAGTTTGCAGGTCAGATTATAGAAAGCTAGTCATTCTTTTGTGTTGAAGCACCCAAACAACATAATGACCACTTTAACTTACCATGCAGAAAACTATCAGAACAACTTAAGGCCGATTTACACTTTTGCCTACAACTGTCGCATGCAACCTGCTTACAACTTGAGTTGTACTGTGTAAATCAAGCACACAACTCGCCCACGACAACGTACTAGGCGTAATCGGCCTTTGCAATGCAGAGAAGTGATAAAACGTTTCCGTACTCAACTGGAAGTCAAGCAAACTATAATGTTTAGCAAAACTTAACATACAAAACACCATTGTTGTTTTTATTTTACTTTTATTTCCACAGAGAGAAGAACATGAAGCTCATGTTATGGAATATCACAAACAACACAAGTAAGAATCTTGCTCATGTTGGAAAGGATTGGAAAGTGAATAAATTGTTTCCTTTGAATTTCAATGTGCATGTATGGCCTGGCTACAGCACATTAACAAAAAACTTTAATTGGTTAAATATGAGAACAGAACGGGTTTGGCTTCCCAAGCCTCTCATTGTTCCAGTAAATACACAATTAGAATTAACGTTTTTGCGATTCGCTTCCTTAATGCAAAAACGACCAGCGTTTTGTGACTTTTTTTAGGACATTTATTCTCTAATTTTATTGTGTTCCTTTGTTGTAATCAACCAGCCACAGAACCATTTCCTATAGCTTCCTGATGAACCAATTGTCATCTCATCTTGACATGTACCTTCCTGACGTTAATGTATATAGTGTATTTTGAACCTTTAAATATATAATTGTTTCACGGTAAATTGTACATCACGTACAAAGAAGCGTAGGCAACTCACTGTCGTTATCGTGTTTTATATTTTTGATTATAAATATGTTTTCTCATAACAAGTACTGTACGGTTACAACGGTACCACAGGCTTCAAAGTTTTCATTTTTAACTCCAATTGGTAACACCAATTAATAAATATATTACCATTATTTTAGATGGTCAATGTACACAAAAATCATGCAGCGTTGAAGGTACATTAAATGTTCTGATTTATTTCCTATTTTGTTCGGTAGAGGAGAAGATCCGTCTGATGTTGATCGTAATATTCTTGATGTCGTAAGAAGGCTCGATACATATGGAATAACATTATATCCTTGCAGGGTAAGTCCCATGCAATTTCGTCCCAGGCGTTTGCTACAGTACAGTTCATTGTGTTGTCTGTAATTGGTTGTTCCACGTGAATATCTCATTACAAATTGTGAAATTTTATGCTTGCAGGCGCAAGACAACGCAGCACTTAACCTCTCCGTGGCACACATGGGCGTGATTGTCTTTCAAGAAAAAACAAGAATAAATACATTTTCATGGTACGCATCTCAGATACATGTTATTCTGCATCAATAAATGGCCAGGAGTGATTTACACTAGGGATGTGCTGGATCCGGATACCGGTATCCATTAATATCCGGTAAAATATGGACATCCGGCAGAGTATAGACATCTGGCATCCAGGGTGCCTGATATTTACCGGATAATAAAAGAAATTAGAACCATGAAACCGAAAAAAGTTCCCTTTGTCTTTTTGTGCATTAGGAAATTGTGGAACAGGAACAATTATTGGGCATGCAGAAAATGTTTTCACGATGTAAACTGCTCTCAGTACTGAGTTGATTGCTCGCCAGTGCCCGTGCCACAAATATTTATGCCTATTATATTTAACAAATATAAAACATTTTTCGTTTTGATATACAGTTATATCAACACGAGTGAAATTGGGAAAACGAGAAATTGTGTGGAAACACGACGACCGAAGGGCAGAGTGTTTTCACACATTTTCGAGTTTTCCCAATTTCCACGAGTGTTGATATAACTGTATATCAATACGGAAAACATGTTTTATATTTGTTTTATAGCATAGCACAAAGAAATATAAAGAAAGAAATTTTCCAATGTTTCCGTGTTGACATTGAGTTATATCAACACGGCTCTTAGTCAATCATCGTTCAGAATTTACAAATGCTATATTATATAAAGAGATAAAGCATATACTAAAATAATGTGTGAGAAAATAGTGACGTGTTGTGTCATTTGTCCGGTACCGTCCGTGGTATCCTGCAAAACAGTATCCGGCATATCCCTAATTTACACCTATTTAACCTTACATCAATTGCATAGTTCAAGAGTTTGAGACATACAGGTGTCTTTTAGGATTTTCTGTTGGTGCACAAAAAATCTAGTCACGCACATCACACCCAGTGTGAAACCACTTGGAGCTTCGTGGCTAGCTTTTGACCAATCGGATGGCGGAAGCGTCGCGTGATCCATGCGATATATTTGTTGCCATCCTTTGCCCAGATTCTGACGGGAAAACTACTGTATTCCCACATCTGAAATTCATTTCCAGTAACCCCTGAAAAACACCTGTTAATTGAACCGAAACCTGACGCGAAAAGTCTGATATTCTAGTGTTACCCCTTAAAAACTGGCCAAACGTAGTGCTGTGCAAACTCCGGTTTTTCATCTCCGGCTCCGGCTCCGGCCGAATTACAGCTCTGAGCTCCGGCTCCGGCCACATCATAAAATATTAAATAAATGTTTTACGATCAGTGAACATTTATTAATATTATTATGAATAACCCTTTTCGCGCTTCCTAATTATCAGATAACATAACTCAGGAAACAAAACAGTGAAAACACTTAACCACGCAGAAAATATCTATATGGAAACCAGCCTCGAAAAATCTTTGACACGAGGCATGACGCGAGGCATGACGCTAACACTCTCAGACTCCACAGCGCAATTGTTCGCACGCAAACAAAGTACTCTGTCATTTTCAAAAGGTTGATATTTATTTGTTTTGTACTTTTTCGTTATCTACAAGGCATGAAATACACAGACTACAGTATGTAGCGCTAAGTCAGATGGCTTCATGAAAGCATGACGTTTGTAAGTTGCGATCGTATTACAGCTTTTCGACGCTGTTCCTGTGGGCTGTGGCAGTTTGAGTCTATGATGAATTCATTAACAGCAATTGGCAGTTTGCAGTAACTAACAATCGTTTGACATTTGTCTCATTTCATATTGTTTTCTTGTCATTTTGCCGGAGCTGGGAAAACGTAACTCCGGCTCCAGGCTCCGGCATACAAAATTCGGCTCCGGCGTCGGAAAAACTGCCGGAGCTCCGGCAGAACTCCGGCTCCGGCAACTCCGGCGCACAGCACTAGCCAAACGTATGCACGTACAGTACTTGAGACTTTATATTTCTTCTTTTAGGGCAAACATAAGGAAGCTGAGTTTCCACAGGAAAAAGTTTCTTATCAAACTCCACCCCGAGGTACAGTAAAACCCTGCATTTCCCGCGGATTCCTAGTATTCATTATGTGAAGTTAGATGAGTGACCAAATTGATCCCAATTGTTCCTTCCAGGTTCATTACAGAGACACGTTGGAATTTCTGATGGAAAGTCGGGATAAAGCGAAATCCTTCTGGAAACTCACTGCTGCCACACATACCTTTTTCAGGTAATAATTTTATCTAAAGCCAGAGGCGATTGTTTTCGTACAGTATGAACTTTGACTTTTTGAGATAGCACACCACATTTAGATAAGTAAACTGTTGTATGTGCTAGTAACAAGTCAGACGAGTACTCGGCGAATCGAATAGATTAGGCTTTGTTTAAAAAGGGTAACAGGGCTACATCATAAAATATTAAATAAATGTTTTACGATCAGTGGACATTTATTAATATTATTATGAATAACCCTTTTCGCGCTTCCTAATTATCAGATAACATAACTCAGGAAACAAAACAGTGAAAACACTTAACCACGCAGAAAATATCTATATGGAAACCAGCCTCGAAAAATCTTTGACACGAGGCATGACGCGAGGCATGACGCTAACACTCTCAGACTCCACAGCGCAATTGTTCGCACGCAAACAAAGTACTCTGTCATTTTCAAAAGGTTGATATTTATTTGTTTTGTACGATTGTTTTCGTACAGTATGAACTTTGACTTTTTGAGATAGCACACCACATTTAGATAAGTAAACTGTTGTATGTGCTAGTAACAAGTCAGACGAGTACTCGGCGAATCGAATAGATTAGGCTTTGTTTAAAAAGGGTAACAGGGCCACATCATAAAATATTAAATAAATGTTTTACGATCAGTGAACATTTATTAATATTATTATGAATAACCCTTTTCGCGCTAAGTCAGACGAGTACTCGGCGAATCGAATAGATTAGGCTTTGTTTAAAAAGGGTAACTTTTGACATCATGAAAACGTGGCAACCCCGTGTCCTTCATTTCAATGATTAAACCAACAATATACAAGATATAAAAAGCTAAATAAATATAATTACATACATGCTGTATATCTGTAATAGCAAAGTAACACATGCAGCAAACATGCTGACCCTATTTCCATTTTCTAGTGACTACAGAGATTATTTATTGACATATTTATTTGTCTTTTTATTCAGACAATATCAACAGACGTCCGTTACAAAATCAAAGCCTAAAATGTTTGGTCGTGGTTCCAAATATCGTCACAGGTAAACCATAACCTTACTTTAATTGTTCAAGATATTGAAGAGTTTTTATTTTGAAAAACTACAGGTTCACATAGATTATACAGTATACTCGTAATAATTTAATATCGTTTCGTGTTCAACAGCGGAAGAACGCAAAAACAAGTCATGGAAAGTTCAAAACAAAGTGTACGCAATGACTCAACGTTTAACAGGTACAGTATCATTGTATAATTCTTTATTCTGCTCGAAACTGAGCAGTTTTAGTGGTCAGCATGAACAGGGTGATGTGAACTATATTCTATAACATTGAGTTAGTTACTGCGTGTGTGCGTCAAGCTATATATGAAAATTGAATGAAATAGTTATTTACAAAAAAACCGGACGTGTGCAAACAAAACAAACAACAGTAGTTTACTAAACAATCCGACCCATCACATGTGCATGTCAGACTAAGTAAGATCATGGATTGTAAAATAACTGGATAGAAAACTTCCTGACGTCACAGTCTAAACCTAGTTGCAATCTGTGACGTCATGCGTATTGCCAAAGTTCTCAGCATTTTTGTTGTTTCGCTATATTTTCCGCTTTAAAAGAGTAATATTGAAGCATAAACTGGTCTAATTGTTTTAAAAACATGCCTAAGCCACGACAAAGTATTCAAGGTAAATGTTTTTCGTCTTTGTTTTGTATTTTTTTACATTTGTAGCTACGAAATTGACGTCGCCAATTTTAACGAAATTTGCGTTACATTTTTCACTGTTTAGTGCTTGAAATATTTGCTAAAATTGACTGGGAATACTTAGAGATTTCATCGTAGAATGGCCTAGTTATATTTATTTGCTCTTTGACTAAAATGTTTAGCTGTATTATTGCTAAACTCGCCGTTTTTGAGAATTTGGTTTGCAACTAGGTTTCAACGCCATCATCCCATTGAAAACATTATAGCATAGGAATCCCAATAAATGTGGTTGTAACAAATAAAAAGCGTTAAATTTGTTTAATTTTGAATAAATTTGCATTGTATTACCGTGCTTTGACTGTTTTCAATCTTGCGCTGTGAATTCAGTGACGTAAGTAAATCGCAGCGCAAGATTGAAAACAGTCAAAGCACGGTAATACAATGCAAATTTATTCAAAATTAAACAAATTTAACGCTTTTTATTTGTTACAACCATATTTATTGGGATTCCTATGATTATAGGTCACGTCAGCTAGTTTCCTATCCATGTATTTTATTATCCATGGTAAGATCAATCCTCAGTGTAAGTACTAGCCTGCATGGCAGGCGTACCCGTAGGAAATACCGCCTGCCGCAAAACTGGGTGTAAATGAACTACCGCCCCTGAAGCATCAACGCTATTTATAGATGCATTAATTAAGTAAATATTCAAAATTAGCCACTCCCAAGCTGCTCCCAAGTCCCAACTGCCCAACATAAAATAAATTCCTTGATTCTCATCACCGCCGGACTGAATTTTAAAATCCTCGTGAAAACGTTTTATTTTTAGTTATACAATATAAATGTACCGCCCGACAAAATAATTCAAGACAGTTAATTTTTTTATATTTTATATAGAGTTTTTATTGCCATTTTAAACTTCCAATTTGAAACAAACAGAATTTTGAGTGAAATTTCATTGTATTTTAAAGAAACTCAGTCATTCTGTCATTGTTCGTGGAGATACGAACTATTGATATATAAATTATATAAATATAAAATATAAAAATAAATCTCCCACTGTCTTCGACATTTCAAAGTGTAGACTGTGTCTAGTGATGAGAATCAAGGAATTTATTTTATGTGTTAATATAAACCAAGCCCGGTTAGCCGTTTAGCTGCCTTAAAACGGTGGTTTAATAAGCTCAAAATACAAAGCATGCAAGTCTATACTATAGATTCATCATCAGTCAACAACCAAACTGAAAGTATTGAACCTTATAGAACGATAGTTTTTATTTGTTTACAACTATACATATTCAACGGGTATATAAGAGTTTAACAGTTATTTGATAATTACTGCATCAACCGGCCCCTTGTTTATACTTTGGAGGTTCGTATATAATATCTATCAAGTATCTTTGGTTCAGAACATGACTGATAGGCCTATATGGAAATCCCACTGTTCGATTCAGTGAAGAAATATCTCCTAATTTCTATCGATAGTTTTAGTAAAATGTCAACATTATTGCGATTTATGGCCTTTGAAAGTCAAGCGAGATAGTATATTATCAAATTAATACGCATGTAATTGTCTGAACGAAAATATAGACTAGCCCATACCTTTCGCCGATCATAACTTCGGCCCCTTCGGACGTATCTTCTTTGTTAAATATTCTTGTTCGAATCTCTATCAAAAACACTATTTAGAGTGTTATTTTTCAGCTTGTATCTTTTAATTTGCTTCTTTTATTATGTTATTCCATTTCTGGTCTGACTTGACGTGAACTAATTTCTAAACGCAGAGTTTCAAAACGTCAAAACATTTGGTTAATGATTAACATTTAACCGAATTTAGCCGTTGATTGACAACTACATAAAAATACTAACCAATCCGTTTTTCCCGTTCACCAGCGGACGGGTAATTCAAAAACCCCTAGTTTTGCGGCAGACGGTATTTCCTTTGCTTCCCTAATTTTCACTGCCCGTAGAAATACCGCCTGCCATGCAGGCTATGTAAGTACCCAAATTTACCTCGGCTTGTCATTGAGTTCATTCGACTCGACTGGTAGCGTCTGGTTAGAGTTGGTTAAGCTTTGGATTTATAGGAATGCAACTACCTGAAAAATGCAAGGAGAACTTGACGAAGGCGAAGGGCCTTCGCTCGAAACGTCGATGCTTTCCTTGTGTTTTTCAGGTAGTTGCATCCCTATATAGCAATTCGAAGCTTTGTTGTTACAGATTCAAGCCTTGTGCGCGGATGAATGTTTTTGTGTGTCATATTCTCTCATATATTTTTGGGGCTTCAATGCACATCATATTTTTAAATTGCTAATCCTTCAGATCACAAAGTCTTCGAATGCCATCATCTGCTGACAACTCGATGAACAGTTTAAGGTCATCACCTCGTCCTATGATTGGATATGGTAATGTCGAGACGAGAATTATTGAAGCGGACTATCCTGTAGCCAATAGTCTTGCATCCATAGCATCGAATGATGAGAGTGGTCATCTGTATTTATCCGGACGGCATACATCAACTGAACAGTCACGAGAGGAGCTCAATATCGACGAAATACATCATGAAACAGAGGAAGAAAAGTATGTACAAGTTGTACAGTTTGTTTGTATCAATTGTAATTTTATAATAATTTTAAAGTAAAATCAAATTAGCAAGGAAGTGATATCTAATATTGATCAAAGTCCTAATCATTAATAGCTATGGATATATAGTACATTATCCAACAATCAGTCAACTTGGTTGCCTCTGTACCAGATAAATTCGTAATTTGGTGAACTGATGCCGCCACCGTAAGTGATTCTAAAAAGCAAATGGTTGGTAATTTTGATCAGTGTCAATGGATTGACCATCCTTGTACAGAGAAAATAGCCTGGGTACGAGGTTGTGAATTGACGTGATATGAATATTATTCAGTCCAGTATAAAAATTATATATTCAAGCAATCTTGTATTCAAGCATTGGTATTTCATGCGAGGACCACAAATAGTTTGAAGAAACATACCAAGTAGTGCTCATCCTAACACAAACCCTAACCCTAGTTCTAACATCTCATGGCTGCAAACGTTAAGGCCCTGTCACACTATTGCGTATGAGAGAAACGTATGAGAAGCGTATGAAAATTAATGAAATAATTTTCATACGCACAAAAATCCTTTGAAATGCCAGCGTATGAGTACCGTACATCTGGCGTACCTCTACACAGCCAGAAATCTCACAGGCCTGTCGCAAGCTGTTGATTTTACCGGCTTGCGGCAAGTTGTCAACAAGTCGCGACAGGTCTGTTGGTTTCGTCAGGCGGTAACAGGCTTGCGGTAACAGGTCTGTCGCAAGCTGTTGACAACAGAGCCGTAGCGACTTGTTGAAACAACCCGCTACAAACCTGTTACTAACAAGAGATAACAGGTCTGATAGAACAATTTGCAGCAAGTCTGTTGAAATCAACAGGTCTGTTACAACCTGTTCCAACAGACCTGTCGCGAGTTGTTTTTGTCAAGTCTGCAGCAAGCTTGTTATCAGACCTGCGACAAACCTGTCCACAAGAAACAATTTTTGTCCTGTCACAACAAGTTTCAACAAGCCTGTTGTAGGGAAACAAATCGAAAATGTGAGTAAAGAGATATAAAATCGCACGAAATGGACACTTCCGGCTTCACTTTACCATTTAATCATTGTCATTGGTGGCGATATTAAATCACATAGGAGAGATTATAGTCCATAGTATCTATTCACTGATTATTATAAAATGCAAAAGCCGCTGTTTTTTTTTTTTTAAAAAAGTTAAGATTTCCAAAATCCAAATTCCAATTTGCTGACGTGTGCTATCGCTATATTTCTTTAATCTGATTGGATAAACGCGTGTGCACACGTCATCATTCCTCGTTGCAATTGGGCGAAATATTACAAACATATCAATCACGTAATCATGTTTAGTTGTTTTTGAATTTTGAGCCAAACAAAATTTCAACAACTGCCTCAAACAAAATCAAACAAGTTCAAAGCTGTTTTGATTTTTGAAGAAACTGTAGCAATGAGAATACAAGATTTAGAGCTTAAGAAATGAACAATACATGAACAACCGAGTGTTCACTGCAACGTTCGTCATTGCTGATATGAACATGAAATTCGTTATATAATTTCTTTCCAATTTCAAGTGAAATCTGCGAGCGAGGAAGACGCCTTATTGAAGCTTTGTGTTTATGGTATGTACTGTTTTGAAGAAAAAGATGCAAGTAGGTTGTCATATTTCGGTCGTACTTCAAGACAAATAATTTTGAAAATTGTTTACGATAAGAACCTTTCTTGAATTTGTCGTATTTTTTCGGCTGTTTTGCTCAAAAATTATCTCGCAAGTTTGTTTATAAAACTTTATATTTCAAACTTCTATTTCACGAAACACTACAACCGAAATATGGCAACCTGTTTGGCCGTTTTTTGTTCAAAATAGTGGATAGACAAGCTTCATAAGGCGCTTTCCTCGGTTTGCAACAGGTCTGTCGCAAGTTGTTGAAAACAGCATTTCTGCAGCTCTGTCACAACAGCTTTTAACAGACCTGTTGAAAACAGCATTGCAGCAGCTCTGTTACAACAGCTTGTAACAGACCTGTTGAAAACAGCATTGCAGCAGCTCTGTCACAACAGCTTGTAACAGACCTGTTGACAGGCCGTTGCGGACCTGTCAGAACAGACAGGTACAAGGCGAGCGAACGCATCCAGATATCGGCTTGTTGACAACAGGATTTAACAGATCTGTTGCAGATCTG